TATATATATATATATATATATATTATTGACTAGCCCATTCAACTAATTCTATTCGGTTCATGTTTGGTTGAGTTTTCAAACTAATAATAGTTGATATTACTTTTATTTTTATTTTTATTTTTAAAATTTATTAACCCCTACAGTTCTACATTTCTTATAAAATCAAACAATTATATTTAAATATATTTATTATTTAGTAAAAGTTAATTTTAAATAGAGAAAACATTGTATAGTTATTATTATTATTTTTTTGTCTCGAAACTAAATTTTTACCATCACATATTGTTTTATACTAACGGGGTAAAAAAACTGCAACAAAAAAAGTAATAAAACTGAGGAAATTACAAATTTGGTCCTGTTAAATTGGGACGGTTCAATTTTAGTCTCCCGGTCGTAATTTTAGTCTTGAGGTTTAACGGTGACTTCACGGTCCGTTGAATTTGGGACCTAATGCGGAACAAACATTAGTTAAGGACCAAAGTTACAATTTCGTCTACTGTGGCCACTGGCCACCAACTCGGCTGATATTTTGCAGGTTGGAGTGACACATTTGGGGCATAAAACCCTAGTTCAAATTTGCAGCCACCAAAACCCAAAACCTTCCAATTAGTTCAGAAACCTTGCAAATAAAGTCCCATAATTAAAACCATGGTAGCTCGAAGCAAGGCTGATGCTCATGGCGGCCACGATTTGACCTTCACTGATAGTAAACCTACGAAGATCAGGTTCCAGTACGACTAGGACGATGATGCAGAAACCATTGAAGAAGCTGCCACAGAGAGTTCGATTCTCGAGGAGGATTCCGTCATGGGCGATCCCGAGGATTCCTTGATTGCTGCGGATGATAAGACGAGCGCTGATTATTACTTCGATTCCTACTCGCATTTCGGTAATTCATCCCTCTTCGAACGTTGGGGATCTTCAAAATTAGTCTTCTGTGTGCTTCATAATGTGACGATTTTAGTGTGAGTTGAGGAATTAGTTTATGTTATTATGTATATGATGTTTGATAGTTCGGGAATGGTTAGGATGAGTGCATATGCCAGTAGATTGCATATAATGTATGCTGCAGAAATTCATTTGTAGAATTCATATAATGTATGCTGCAGAAATTCGTTTGTGTATATATTTGGGCATAATGTTGAACACGGTTGGTGATTGAATAGAGTTGCTGGAACTTTGGAATGGGAAAAATTGACATTATCGATTTTGGCTGGTCAGGTGTACTCTGTGGAAGCGTTTTCATAGTCAGAAAGAAGGGGTTTTCAGAATGAATTGGAAATGATGAATTCGTTGAAGGGTTCTATGCATTTGTTTGTTTTCCTTTCCGTAACATTTTTTTTTTTTTTGGGACTTTTTACAAATCGTCAATTGTCATCTTTGGCGATAGTGAGGTTCTTATGTACAAGATCATGCCAAGTAATTTTAACTGAATATCTTGGTTTATTTGTGTCCATCTAAAAGGTGCAAGGTTTTTTAATGTGATACCATTTCCATTGCAGGAAGAAAGAAGGAATTAGCTAGTATTGACATTGTAATATAGTGGTGAAGAGAAAAGATATATACAAGAATTGTTAAAAATATTCAGTGTACAAACATATTGAAGATGTAATCAGCAGGCCTGCACTTTTGGATGGTGAAAACAGTGTGGCACCAAAGAGTGAATGCCATGAGACAATCTATGCTGATGATGATGGTATTTTCCGGCAATTGTTGGTCGATCGGCCCTGTTGACAAATGGATGGTCGAGAAGCATATCGGGTTTCCACCTGGCCGTCGGATCTTTCACCAAACACTTTGCGAGAAAGTCTTTAGCCTCTTTGGATATTCTGTTGTTTGTTGGAATCTGGGGAATCTGGTCACTGCACCCGATCTTGAAGAGAACATCCTTCGGCTGGGCATTGCTGTCGAAAGCCCACGGTGATTTTCCAGTCAGCATGTGTAGAACCGAGCAGCCCAAGGCCCAAACATCCGACTCCGGCAAGTACTTCTGCTGGGCTATTGACTCCGGGGCCGCATACATAACCGTGCCCCTGAAATCATCACACCTACTATTTCCGTCGAAGCTCGTCTTGCAGCAGCTCCCGAGATCTGCGAGCTTCGCGTCTTGGCCGACGAGCAACACGTTGTGAGGCTTCACGTCGCAGTGAACGTAGCCGGCCTTGTGGATGTGAATGAGCGCCGTGAGTATGGATTTCGTGCAGCGGCTGACGGTGATTTCCGGAAGGCCTTTGATGATGATGTGATCGACGAGGCATCCACCTGAGGCATACTCGAGCAATATGTTGTAGAGTTTCTCCCCGTTTTCGGTCGTGATTTCGTCACCAAAGCAGCGGAGGATAGAGGGGCATGACTGGAACTTGTCGAGCAACTCCTTCTCCTTCTTTAGTGATTCGGATTCGGAAAATTTGGCGGATTTCACGGCAATCAACGGCGGCAGATTATGATCTTGCATGGTTTTGGCGATGGAGACGAACCCAAAACCACCCTTTCCGAGGGTTTCTCCTCTAACCCAGCCCATTCTCTCTCTCTCTCTCTCTGATTCTTTCTGCGTGTTTCTTTACTCTTTGTGATTTTTTTTCTCTCTCGAGGTCGACTCTTTTGAACTCTATATATATATGGGTGCTTTTGGTTTGAGTAATGATCAAGTATATAATAGGGTGAAGAGCGTGTAGGTTTTATATGATTTTACCGACTATATACTACGGGAAACCCTATCCTCCAAGAATTAAAATTATGCACACGCGCGCTCTCTGTATACATCTTTCTCTACAGACTACTAGGGCATCCATATTTGATTTCAAAATTAAGTTCTACAATTTTTATTCTACATTATCTAGCTATTCAGTATTACTGCTAATTATTATTATTATTATTATTATTATTATTATTATTATTATTATTATTTTATTTTTTTTGGTTTTATTATTAATAATTTATTGTCATGA